CTTCGAATCTCTGCACAGTGCATTCTACACAAATCCATGTCCACGTGATTCAAATTAATAGCCAGGTTTCAGTTAAATAAGGTTTCAGGTTCTTGCGGTATCGAGTTGGTGATGACTCTTCTAGGATGTTGCCCCGTTTAGTCTGGCACAGGTTTACCGACGTTTCGGACGTGCTTATTGCCCCCATAATCGCCCTGATGATAGAGGCAGTAAGCACCTCTGAAACATCGGCCAATTTCTACCAGGTTTTACTGCGCAATATCCCGGAAGATAGCTTCAGATTTCAGTTCAACCTGCTACTGATGTTCTACATTTAAATTTGCATGTCGAATTTAATTTTGGTACCTGCAGATCAATTGTAAACATTTTTTTCCTCAAAAGTAATCCCATCTGTAAATACAAAAATATTTTACTATATAACATTTACGTATTATTAAGATATAGGCTTCCAAATTTTGATTTAAATTGTGTTGTGAATGTTTAAAGAGTTGCAGAGAATAACAATATGTTGACTCCGTAACTCAGGGTTTCTGAGTCTCTTTTAGAAATTGCTTCATTCATTCTTATTTATCGACTCGCTGGTCCCAGATTTCAGAGAAACTACTCCTAACTAACTGTTACAAACGGGTTTACATACTAAATAATTGTCTTTAGTGAGATCAGTAATTACTGAGATATTTGGTTCTGCCTTTGCTTGAGAAAATTTTCAGTATTAAGTTTTATCTCTAGTTGCAATTCGCATGTATTCCTTCAACTATTCAATCAGTAAGACGCGTAGTAGCTTTAGATTTTACGTTCTTCATTAAGTTAAACAGCTCATGCCGGTAATAATTACTGCCACATTTTGAAGAAATTAACAAAAATTGTGTTTTATCGTAAAATGTTTTATCATTCAGGCTAACACAGTATTACACATACTTGGCCCGCAAAAAATATATCTGCGGGCTGTTGGCTCAGAAATCTAGCTTTAGTGTGATTAAATTTGCCATAATATTTGTGCCTGAAATTGATGAATATCAAGGCGATTATGGTAAAAAAAATTAACAAAGAAACCTGCTTTTGAAAATCATGTTTAGGCCTATGATGTTACGTCGTTGTTGATTATGATTCTACATTTGTGTTTGAAGTGTTGCATAAACTTCCTTCTTCTCTTTCTGGTGTCCTCGGAAAGACTGTAATTTATAATAACAAACAACCTTTGCTAGAATTCCGTCTCAAGGTTAACTGGATATTGTGGTCCGTTATGAATATAGAATACTTGCTACTTATTTTTTTAAAAAAATGAGACCATGTTATTTGCAGAGGTGAACATTGCAGCATGATTAAGCTATATATGCGTTTTATACGTAAACAGCCAGAAACGAAGATGATCTGTAGATTAACTAGACAATAAAACAGTGGAGTGACACGACAAATATTAACATATTTACTTTCTTATTTTCCTTTTTCTTCTTGTTCTATTCTTTTCCTTACTCTTTCGCCTGTTTGTTATTATATTATTTTGTTGTTTATTTCCTGCTCTCCTTGCAGTGCAAGATTACAATATTCTGAGTAAGACTATAAGTAAATAGTGCTCTGACCCCCCCCCCCACAATTATCCGCCCCCTCAGGGTCTAACAGACGTGAAGTTGCTACACAGTATTGGCCTTCCCGGATGTATTTACAGCCTCTGCTTCTTCTCAGTACGTCTTAGTGGACACTTGTTCTACCATTCGTTAGGAAACTGGGTGATCCCTTGGCGAGGAAAAAAAATTCAGTCACTACAAGACTTAAATGTTTTTAGAATAGCGCAAGTAATAGACGAATTTTTAATATTCTTATTCATAGGTTTTTAATGTTTTATTATGACGTATTTCTGTTTCGCGTTTATAGAGTTGTGTTCCTTGCTTTTTTTGGTTTTTGTGTTCCTTTTTTTGCCCTCGTTTTAAGTGCATTCTGTTCCGTTAGCACCACGTTTTTTCTCCTTAGAAGAATCTCAGACATGTTACGTTATATTCACGGTACATATATATGTGTACGCGTATGTTAATTTTTTTAAACGTGTTAAAGTAACTGCTCTGAATTCAAAGCTATATAATTTAGAAACAATTTTGTACGGAAGTAATTCTCAGCAGACAGTGCCTCAGTATTTCTAGATACGCGATTAACAACTCTCAGTCCAGTTAGTGTTTTTCCAGACGGAATGCTAACTTGTCTTTGAGAAGCAAGCGTTGTTACATGTGCCACTCTTCCTCTCACGCATACGAATATTCAAATGGTGATGATAAAACGAGTCTTTAATTTTGTTCGAATTCCTAATTGCTCTTACTGAATGACATCACGTGAGGTACTTGGTAGAGAGGGAGGCAGGGGTTGAAGGGAAATGGAAAAGAATTTAAAGTGGAAATTTGAATTTCTTCTGGTCTTCCTTTTATATCATCCATCTGTCCCCCGTCGCAGATTATTGTATATATTCCCACGAATCTCATTTTGGTGAGAAACGGTGAATCGCATCTATAATCTTTAGTTTTACGCTGGTGACGTTCAACCAACACCGATTTCACAAACATCCTACAAACTCCGTAATTTATACCGTGGTATACGAGGGGGATCTGAAAATGTTGATTTTGACTTTCCGACTTGTAATTCCGTTTAATTTTGTAATTAGTAACCAATGTTTAAGAAGAACCTATCGGCTCAATCTTGAGATAGAAGACGCATCGCGTCCATTTTCGATACAAAGTAATTTTTACTTAATAGAAGACTGAGGCGATATATTTCACCAAAACTTTGGTAACCATCTACAAGTCTGCACAACGTCATAACTCTGATGACCATACTTTTATATTAGCTTAGGTTAGGTAAGGTTAGCTTTGGTTAGGTTAGTTATTGTATTCCTCTCTGTTTGGTGGAAAGTATTTCTTCATATTCTGCGGACTTTTCCCTCAATTTGTGGTTCATTCTGTATTATATCTTTTGCTCTCACCATGTTCTCAACACGGCCTTCCTAGGCTTGCCTTTATCTTGCTGCAGATTTCTTCCCCATTATCGTTCAACAGTCACTGTCAGTCTCCGATTGTAACTTAGAAAATTACACAAATGAACTTACTAATAAGTATTTACCGTCATTGGCTTGCGGAGGCATAGCACAACACCAACTTCTGGTCTGTTAAGTGAAGGCTTTTTATCGTCCACTCACCCCATTTTTTATCCCTTTGGGGATAGGAAGGATTTAATCCGTTGGAGTCAGTGGTGGTAGTAACAACATCAACCCCTGGTGTGTTTGTTTCTCGTGATATTAGTCCCCTAACCTAACCCTTCGTTTCTCTCTTGATAGTAATCGGTCCTTTTAAAAAAAGCCGAGAATACAGTTCACGTTCCAGTAAAAAAATGGTTGTTTTTTTCTTAGGACACATGACTTGTTCTCGAGAACACAGTTCACGTTCCAGTAAAAAATGTTTTTTTTTTCTTAGGACACATGACTTGTTCCGCATTTAACTAGCAGTGAGAATGAATCCCTCTGTTAAGTCAATTTATCATTGACTAAAGTTAAAACATCGAATCAAACAGAAAAAATTAAGGGTTTTGATTGTGCTCTGTACGCATATAACAATGCAGACTTGTAAAATTGTCAATAAATTAGTTTAAAATTTAACATATAGCATCTGAGGGAGAATAACATTAAGATGTCTTAAGCCGACGTTCTGAACAGAATAAACTTAGGAAATTATTTCATTGTGTTCAGTCTACGCTCTTGGTACAAAGATAAAAAAAAATATATAGAAAATACGAAGACTTCTCGCGGCCAAAGTCCGGCTTCATTTCGGGTTTTGCGATGGGGAAGTGGTTTGGTCAGATTTTCCAAGTGTGCCACTGATCACTCCACCAATATCCCTAGCTCATTTATCACTGCCCTAAAGTGACCGACAGGCCCAGACAGCCATCTCATTATCACAATCTCTGTCCTTATTTTAAGCTTCACTTCTGACCTGAAACTTCGCTGCACTCAGGAGTTAAAACATGTCAACGTTAATTCATAGTTTTAAAAGTTCTTTTACTCGTCGCTAGGTTTTTGACGAAAGAATAGATATTAACTCATTTAAAAAGAAGGTACTGGCTGGAAATCGGGCCTAAGACTTGTCAAATATCTCGATAGTGGAGAAAGATACAGGAAGAAATCTGCACGGTTGGTGCCTTTACGTTTGTAATAAAACTAGAGTAATCCAGTAGCCCTTGGTCTGTATAAAATGCTGAGGTTGAAATGAAAACGTAGAGATAATTTTTAACTAACTAATCCTGTCTGATACCTAATTACGTACAATTAATTTTAAATCAAACGGACATGAGCTAATGGCAGGGCGACAGAAGTTTAGCCAACATTTTCTCTGATGCATATTGAATTGTGTATTGTTATTTGGTTTGCACGCGAGTATAATTTCGTTAAAGACAGTTTTCTCCCCGCTTGGTACTTAGTCCACTCTTCTTAAAATTATTCTTATAGTTAACGCCTGAGATGAAACAGTGTCAAGTTACGCACTAGCTAGAAATTAAGTACTTCTTACAGTGTCATAAATAATGAAAATGTTAAGGTTTACATCGATATTGGAATAATTATTTAAAACAAATGTGTCTTTAAAGATAGCACGAGAGGTAAACTATGTTTATACATAATTTTAAGTTACATACTGACAATGTTTAAGAGTATTTCATAACGCAGTGACTAAACTCTATTTTTTTGGAGTTAGTTTTATTTACAAAAAGCAATCATAACTGAGACGAAAAATGATCTTGGCCCTAAACAGATCTTCATGCACAAATCGGCGATGCAGATGCACGCTCGGGAAGCGGTCGTGGCCCATCGCAGCGAGGTGAAGCCCCACCAGTGCCAACAGTGTCTCAAGTCGTTCTCGTCCAACCACCAACTGGTCCAGCACATCCGTGTTCATACGGGGGAGAAGCCGTACAAATGTTCGTATTGCGACCGCCGCTTCAAGCAGCTTAGCCACGTGCAGCAACACACCCGACTCCACACCGGTAAGTACAGACAGCGAAGTCGTGAAGGCTCTTTCTGTAACCACTTGGTCAGAAGCTGCGTACAGGGTTTTATGATCGCTGAGCGCAGGTGAGTTTCAGGAAGAATTGCGAATATCTCAGGGAGATTCATAATTGTTCAAGAACTGAGTACAGGAGGCTTTGATATTTAAAGTAAAAGAGTTTTTAATACTCTTCGAGTTAGTAGACTTTAACAATTTATCAGGGATTAAATGTAATCGACTTTTCTAATTCCTACATACAAATGATAACTAAGGAACTGGGTTATAATTTTCGGATGGTGTAGTGGAATGGTTTTGATTTTCTTCCAATGGGCCCCCCCTTAACATCTATCGCTACAGATATTTTTACCTTTACTATTGAGAAACTTAATTTCTGAATGATCCTTACTTTTGTCTAAATGTATAAAACCTGCTGGTCATTTACAGTCTGTGCTCTAGTAATTGTGTTACACCCTACGACTGCAATAAGATTTAGACGTGACACGTAACGTCAGCTTTCGAAATCGAATTGTTTATTTAAACGTTCAGTCACAAAATACTGATATGTGGTGGACTGTACTTGAAACGGAGTACAATGATTTCTCAATTCGATTTGTAAGTGGATTTGGTTGTGCTCCACTTGGAATATTACATTTTTACTAGAATGGTGCAATGGTCACTGAGTTATCTCGCTTTACATGTGGCCTTCATGGTTGAAGGAAAATAAACTTTTAAGTACATGGATCATAAATTATTTGAATTTGGACTCATTTACTATTTAAATAAGTTCTATGTGATAAGGTTATAGTACAGTTTTATGTTTTAGAAACTTGTTTATAAAGATGACCTATCTTAAGATAGCGCTTAAAATAATGTACACTGACCTATACAATTTAATATTTCCTGAATGTTTTGCTGCCTAATCGAAATAATTGTATTGCCGTTTATAAATCCTTTTCGACATATAATTCTTTCTTTCCATGTCTAACGTTGAAATAAAACTTTGTGTTACGTTTGGGAAGGCTGACTCGTGTTTTCAAATTTATAAGGGCTAAAATGGAAAACTTGTTATAAGGTGGTCTCACAGAAATTCTAGGAAAAATCACTTTAATATAACCAAAGACATTTTTACGAGTTATAAAATTGGAATGTTATATCATACAAATTGTTGGTATACAAGGTTATGCTGTAGGTTTGAAATATTTTTCTGCCAGGTAATATTAATAAATATGCGCGGTAACACAAATTGTTGGTATACAAGGTTATGGTGTAGGTTTGAAATATTTTTCTGCGAGGTAATATTAATAAATATGCGCGGTAAATATTGAGAGAAATATATCGATATTTATTCAGTGATTATCGTAAAATTTCTTGATGGGGAGATGTTTCAACTGGTTGTTAAGAAGAAATGCTTGTTCATGCAGTTTAAATCAATATGCTGAACAGTGTTCAAAATTGGATAGGCCTACTGTTATGTAAAGAATTTCAGAGTTGTAATTGTAAGTGTACTTGCTGTTGTAAATGATATTTGAAGTGCGGAAACTTGTAACACAGTGAGAACTCTACAGTGTTTAATATTAGACGTAATTATGTACCTGAAAAACTTAAAACGCCTAACCTATAAATCGATTCCGTCTTCCTATATTGAAGGGGATACCCTTTCAGATTGATGTCTATATCGTGTGTACATGTTAACAATGTTAAAAGAATGTATGTAATTTGATACTACGGCAATATAATATTAGGGCTCATTGCTGAGAGTGATTTCTATTCGCAGTACAATTTTCATCGGTTTCTTTTTCTTTTTGTTAAATAAGATTGTTATTCTTTTCTGTTCGGTTGACCTCACTTTGCGAGAAATTCTTTTGACTGTTGAAATTAATCGTTCTTTCATTCTTTATAATCTTAAAGGGTCGAAAAGAATGAAAGAGAAGAAAAGTTTAAAAATTTTAAGGGAAAGAAATGATTCTTAGTACAAGGGGAAGAAAAGTTTTAAATTAATTTTATTTTGGATCGCTGAGTTCATTTTTTTTTTTGGATTCCCTTTTCTCCCTGTGTTTGGACATTACTTTGAGTTTTTATTTTTATTCAGAATAATGCTATATATATAAACTTCTTCAATACAAGTAGGCCTCTCGTTAAACTTTTCATATTCGTTACATTTCAGCATTTTATTTCGTAATAATCGAAGTCATATGCCACTCACTCGGAGACTCTAATGCTCCAGATTGGTATACTGATATTTAGGAATTGGATGGAAATCTAAGAGAATAATAACGCTGAGGGTCTTTAGTTTGAATCCCAGTAAAATCACCGATTTCGCCTGTGAATTTAGAGCCTCTGCTATATTATAATTCTGCGTCGAAGGACCCTTACTATAGTATATTCAGTAATTTTGTCGTAAGTAATTTAATTACACACTTTTATCTGCAGAGGTTTTATATATTTTATTCGAGTATGATAGGAAATATGAACACATGTCAAGGAGAAAAGAATTTGAAATCAGGATGCCGTGGCGTGTTGGAGTGAGTGCCCCATGTATTTACAGAGAGGCGAAGGAAAACTACGAAAATTTGTAATGTGGTATCCCGAATATAAGTCTAGAATGTAACCCTTATAGTATTATGATTATATTGATTAATTAATTAGCAAATGCTTGTAGAAACCTTACCGTTAACTTTAACCTGCTTGGCACTGCGCGGTCCATATTCAACAGTAGACTGTCTGTGTGATATTTCAGGAGTTTATTACTCTGCTAGATTTCATTTCATTAACCCTCTCTACTCAAATATCACGGCCCTAAGTTATAGTACAGGTCTGACCACCCAAGTCACAACATGGGTTACGTTTTTTTTAAAAAAATTTGGATTAATATTCGGCCAGTAAGAATATAGCTTAGAATTTTAAGTTATACAGTTTTTAACCTCGTGAAAAATGTATGATAGATACATTTATTGCAAACGATAATTTATACATTTAAAAGTCTATGGCTGAAAATTCCGTGGTTTATGTATTAGGAAACCGTATGAATATTTTTAAGTCCGCAGCTAATAAAGTCATTTGATTCCTTGGGGATCATCTTAGGCTTAGACATGGTCAAGGACACTTGAAGTAATTGCTACAAGTCGCTATATTTATTGTAGCATAAATGTACCCACATTTTTCAACACGCATCTATCACGTGACCAGGCAACTAGTTATTGTACATGCTTCTGGAAGACACGTATTTGAAAAATAGATAAGAATTATCTACTTTTATTTTTATTTCGAGTGACCTACTTTTGCTTAGAAAAGCGGAAGTAGATAACAGTGTTGACAAAATGGCCGCCATTTCTGCGATTTCTCTCAAGAAGGATGCAGTTCATAACTAGACGCTTTATACTAATATTTTTGATGTGTAATGATTTTAATTTTTAACAAGTTTACACCACAGTTAGTTGTGTACTGTTGCTCGTACTGCCACTATAATTAATGTGACTGCCCATTACCAACACAAATTGTGATGGTTTTACATAAAACTACGCAATATCATCAAAATATTGCAATCAAACACAGGACGCTTTACAGAATGAATTTATTTGCACATTTGGCTAAAAAACGTAGATATGATTTATTCAGTGCAAAAAGAAACATTTTCTGGTAATTTGAAGTTTACACTTTCTTTACCGTTATGTAAAATAACTCGAAACTTTGCAAGGAACGAAGAAATAAACAAAGCATTCATTTTACTTCTCGAAATGCTTAAAGTAGGGTTGAAATTGCTTAGTCATTCAAATTCCAATCAACATAAAGTAGGTAGTACTTTTTATTCCCTACCCCTTCTCCTATATTTGACCCCTCATTTCAACCCCCTATTAAAATTTTTCACTGACAAACCCCATGCGTTTCTTTGAAGCATTCGAAATAGCCTTCATATCACATAACGGACACACTTTGACGTTTTTTCATTAGAGCTCTGCCCCTAAAGGCTACTTTTAAGCAGCATAGGTCAGTCATTTTCCAAATGACTGAGCGAATCTTCGAAATTAAAAAGTTTCCCGGTTTTTTCCCCTGACCCCCTAACTCTCCTCGCACTTAATCTTGCCCTTTTTGATATTCTAAAGGAATTCCCTTGTGTAGAAAATACTAATAAGAAAATTGCGAAATGCAAATGCAAGGGGCAGCTCTTTTATGGTCGCCTGCAGCGTCGTGCCAATACTCCAATACCAATCAGTGGGGGGAGGGGGTGCTGGAGGGTGGAAGCGAGCAATCTTTAATTTGACGCTGACCCCCTCTTATATTATGTGATGGCCCTCCGGTCCGGTCAGTATCTGGAAGACTATTCTGACCCACATATTTATCATACCTCGTCACATCAGTTTAGATGGATTTAGGGTCATTGCTAGGAAGGATTAAATATGCGTTCCGAGGATGAATGTCCAACGTTAAGTTGTCTGTAGTATTTTTACGTCACAAAGCGATACAGACTGAAGATGGCTGTCTTCTGGGATGTTGCCAGCGTTTCAGAGGTCCTTACCATCTTCGCGTTCGCCGCCGTGAGATCCATAGATCACACCAAGTTTACTTGTGATTTGTTTCGGCTCACTGATATAATTTCTATTTCGATTCTGTCACGGAATCAGTCGTCTTGTAATTAACAAATTTTAAATTATTGTCGCCCCCTCTCTCTCGCCTTGATAACAACTTTTATGAAAGAACTGAAGAGATTATGTTTTTAATTGGAAAAAGATTCTTGTGCTGTGATATCGAAACAAATGCTTGTCATGATATTTGTTTATTCCAAGGAGCAGGGTGATTTGGGGAGGCAAAAAATAGTTCGTAGTGAAATAAGTAAAGGGAATTATGATGAAAAGAAAACGAGAGAAATATGACGTGGAGGAGCTCTGATGATGGGTTGGAGTAAGATATTTAATGCATTTCCACGTACATGGAATGAAATGAGGATTTTTAACTTAAACAACTTTTACGTTTTTAAAAAAATCAAATGATTCTGAACTATAAGTTGTGGAAGGAAAGGTTACTACATCCTTAATAGCATCCATCTTCATTGTTTTTTGAATTTACATTAAACCTTTAAAGCCAAAGAGAGAGACAGTCTAGAAGGATAGCAAAATAATAGAAACAAAGAGAGAATTGTGGAAATTGGGGACGATCTCAGCATTTGCTTAAAGACAGAGGCAAACCAAGAAACCCTGTGTCTTGTTGGCCGGAAACAGGGCCTTCCAGATGTAAACTGGTCACTAGCCAGCAGTCCGGCAGACAAAGGAATATTATAGACGCTCCCTAGGTGTCCTAAGCTGAGTACCACAGGCTTTGTTGATAAGTTTCAGTACACTGGATGCAATACTTTAAAGCCAAAGTTCGTCTTAATAATATTTAAGTATTAAGTTCATACTGCTAAGAAAACAACGCGTCATCATTACAAAGATCAATTGGTTAATGTTGTTTAAGGAAATAATCTCTGTTTCTTTGATTCTTCACTTAGTGCTGGTAACATTTTACTTAATTGCGTACTGAAAAATTCGGATACGCTCCTAATAAGCGTATTATTTTTAATGTCTGGTATTTAACTTTGATGTTATTAAATTCAAATATGCACTGGTACTTTCAGATACTTATCCCTGGCACTTGTAATCACAAATACTTAAGTCGGGAATGGGTAACTTCAGATACATAACCCTGGCATTGAAAACATCTCTGTTTAACTTTATATATCGCAAACAAGGCGAATTGGTAATTTACGAAAATACTTGTTCAGTTCAACTTGTGCTATGTGACCGCTCCGTTCACCTTACTTTCCATTTGACTTAAGGGCCCAATGAGTTATACAAACGCAGCAGATTTTTACCACATTATATGTTTTAAGTCAACAGTACAGCGTTGCTACGGTGCGAG